AAGAGAATATCCCGGACGAGCCCCCAAATTGTCAGGAGAAATGTCTGCCTTGATGTTATTTAATCTAAGAAAAGATTTAGTAATAAATACTAGAACCAATTTCCAAGATATGGAGGCTGGGCAGCACCGCCTGACATAAAAGTGAAATATTCTCAGTTGGAAAACTAGCATGTAATTGTTTAGTTAACACTATCTTTTTTTAGGTATTTTTATCTTTTTCTATCTCAAATCAATATATACATGTAAACAACAAACTCTGACTATTACTTACACCCAAAACAAAGAACTCTGATCATTATTTACACCCAAAACAAACACACATCATTTATCAGCCACTTATATGAAATATCTTTTCACGTATACGTCTTTTATACGAAACAAGACACCTGGCGAGCCCAAGCTCTAAACAACTTATGATCAAATAACAATAAAATCACCACAAAACGAACAACACAAAAAATGAATATTTTTACAACTCGAAGATACAGTATAAACCACAAACATTCATCCAACAATATTAACTTCACGCCATCTAATCAGCATCAGAAAACAACTTAAACTAAAGCATCCAATATTTACATATATCCTCAAAACAAAGCAGCAACTAATATAATCTTGATATAATACCAAACATTCAACCAATATCAACCAATTATATCTTCACAAACAGATATAATTCAACAACAAATTACAACCAATAAACCCTGATCAATTAAGATCACCACAATTATATTCAACCACTTCAACAAACCAATAAAACTGACTTCAAAACAACAAAATTCTCTTCCCAATAAAAAAATAACCCCTCACACTATAAGCGTGTGTCTCCTAACTAATGTAAAATCTCTCTCTAAACGCGCATATTTACTAGCATAAACGATCTGACATTTAAACATGTAGATAAATTTTACACTCCCAGCAACAGGTTTATAAATGAAACTGTACATTGAAATATGATACACTTCAGTGTATCGCTGACTCGTTGTAAAAAAAAAACTATGTACAGTAAAACTGTGATTATTCTGACACTCTACATTGTACAACATGGCCGCAACAAGCTAGACAATGGTTGGATCAACAAGATGAAGGTCAATGGCCGTCTGCTGAAATAAAACAATATTGCAGCAGAACTGGGTGCTTTGTTGTTTGTGTTGGATGTAGAGGAAGTACACATGAGCAACTTGAATGGAGAATATCAACATCTTCAGCAGAAAGGTGTTTAATGTTCAACCTAAATATTACACAGATTCGCTGTTATGTCTTGATGAAAGTGATTTTAAAAGCATATATTACTCCATTTTTTCAAGATGTGATATCCAGTTACATGTGTAAAACTGTAGTCTTCCACTGTATTGCTAATACACATTCTAACATCTGGAGAAAAAGTAACTTACTTTTTTGTCTAACACAGTGTTTATATCTGCTGTACACCAATATCATTAATGAAAATTGTCCACATTTTATCATACCTGGGAACAATTTAATGAGGGGAAAAATTTCACCTGCAGTCAAACCATATATCCTGGAAATACTCAACAATATTATCAACAGCGAAGGTGTGGCACTACTTGGGATTAAATGTGATGCTCTTGGTTTCAGGCTTTATCTCAAGCTTTATAACATATCTCCAAATATATACAAGAAAGATATAAACAAGAAAAGTGACCTTATTTCAGGAATACTTTTATTTGATCTGGCGTTAGAAAAATCTAACACATTAATATATACTTATAATCTTCTTAAGGACAGCAGTCCTAATGAGGCTGTAGAGAAATTAAAGAACTATATATCAAAAGCATTCTACTGTCAATATGAAGGATTGGATAGGACAGCCATTCTTCTTCTGTTACCATTGTATTGTACAACACTTGGATCTGTCCTGGCTTCACGCAACATCTATCAGTACAACACTGTATCAGCCGATGCCCTCAAACTCATCTCACTTGGTCTGAATACAGATGTTGCATCAAGTAAACTTAAACTAGCTTCAATCTTATACTGTGTTCAAGAAATACAAAAAGCTGACCTAGTACTCAGTGAGATTGAAAGTAGATATGATCTACAAATTGTTGAGCCTGTCTGTTGTTGTCATCAATTTAAGAGAAAACCATTAAAACAAGGATTTGGCCAATTATGTGACAATTATAATGAAGAAGTCTTACAGTGTACAACAGCATCATGTGTAAGATTTCTGCCATGTGAAATTCACTGTGTACCAACTGAACTCAGATATGAATTTTTTAGATCTACTCAAGAGGACAGAATGTTTCGTACAAACGAAGACAACAGATGGATGGATTGTGCTGTGGTGGATTCCCTCCCTTACCTCTACTTTCTACAATACAAAGTTTACAGCCATTTAGGGAGACATGACAACAAAAAAATGGCTCTTTTAAAACAGATCAGAACCATTGAAGAAGAACCAAACCTTGGACATCGGGAAACAGCTCTAAATATTCTTGGAAAATGCATGGAACAAGAAGGTAGAGCTCGAGACGCTTTATACTATTATTTGATGTCACTAAATGTAAGGAGGAGAAATAATGCTGCAAAGATTCATATTTGTATACTCTTATCTGTACTGATAAATGCAAGGACATAAAAGTTATGATAAAAATGTGAAAATGACAAAAAGCAGGACAGTAAAAGAAAGTTGGAATAACTACAAGAAAGATAAGGAAAGCAACATTTATACTATTATAAATATCATATTCTTTTTGAAATAGCATATTTCTTGTAAACAATACACTTTAGAATGTGTAATAAAATTAATCCATCCCTATGTGGAAGGATAAAGCATCAGTTGATGTAGGAGAGCTCATATGACTATTATCAGAGCTTTATAATAAAACAAATAAAACAAGAGCCTGAAAAAATGTAGGAATAATCGGAATCATTCAAAAAATTACATTACATTATTTTGAGACAAAAGAATCTTATTTTATGTTCACAAAGGGCAATCCATAATTAAGTTAAAATGCATGCCAGAGTCATGCGCATTAGAGGGTTAACTCCTATTATGATCTCAAATATGTGTGTGTGTGTGAGAAATAACTTGCAAATATCTTTGGTGTTTGATATGATGTTGAAAAAGTAACAAGTTATAACTGTAACCAAAGTGTTATGCCAACTCCAGGGTGAGAAGAATTATGAACCCCATTCTTCTTTGAATATTCATATAGTATAAACTTCATGTGCATGACTGCAAAAGAGAACCAAATGTGATTTGAAGTACATGCCATAATACTGCATCTGTAAAAACATTTACTGGTTGCTATTGCTAAAGTAAAACATTACTTCCAAAAGATGTGTACATATAAGGAAAATGAATGACCCCTACAGGCCAATTTAGATTTTATTCAAGTTTTTACAATATACATACCGGTAAAAAAGAAAATCAATAACCCATTCGGGCAGGGCCACTTTTTGACCCCAGGATTTTTATTTGAATGAACTTGGTAGACATCCATTAGAAGATTTTAAATGCCAAATACCAAAGCTCTAGCACTTTCAGTTCTTTTAAAAGAAGATTCTTTAAATTTTTACTATATACATATAAGGAAAATCAATGACTGCCCGGGATGGGGCAAATTTTGTCCCCAGATGTTTATTTGAACAAACTTGGTAGACACCCATTAGAAGATGTTTCATTCTATATATCTAAGCTCTAGCTACTTGTGTTTTTAAAAGAAGATTTTTTTTCTAAATACATGTACATAAAAGCAAATCAATGACCCCTTGGGCGGTCCCAATTTTGACCCCAGGGCTTTTATTTGAACAAACTTTGTAGACACTCACTAAAAGCTATTTCATGCTTAATATCTAAGTTCTAGCTATTTGTCTTTTTAAGAAGATGTTTTTTTAGTTTTTACTATATTCATATAAGGAAAATCAATGAACCCCTGGACAGGCAAATTTTAACCCCAGGATATTTATTTGAACAAACTTGGTAGACACAGAAGATGTTTCATTCTATATCTAAGCTCTAGCTATTTGTTTTTTTTTTATATAAATATTTTTTTTCCTATATACATGTACATATAAGCAATATCAACGATCCCCTGGGACGGGGCCAATTTTGCACCCTAGGGCTTTTATTTGAACAAACTTGGTAGACACTCACTAGAAGATATCTCATGCTAAATATCTAAGTTTTCGCTCTTTGTGTTTGTTCAGAGGATTTTTTAGTTTTCCACTATATTCATATAAGGAAAATCAATGACCCCCAGGGCAGGCCAATTTTAATCCTCGGGCTTTTATTGGAACAAACTTGGTAGACACCAATTGGGAATTCTTTCAGGCTTAATATCTAATATCTAGCTCTTTGGGGTTTGAAAGCAGATTTTTTTAATTTTTTAAAACATACATATAAGAAAAATCAATGAGCCCCAGGGACAGAGCCAATTTTGCACCCAGGGCTTTCATTTGAACAATGCTGGTAGACCCTCACTAGCAAATGTTTCACGCTTAATATCCAAGCTGTAGCTGTTTTGTTTTTTCAAAAGAAGATTTTCTAAGTTTTTTTCTATATATATATAGGGAAAAATAAATGGCTTTTATTTGAACAAACAATGTCCTAAAATAATGTTAATAGCGATCCCTAACAGTCAGACATACTTATTTACATTTTATTGTAGAGATATAGTTATAGAATCATACAATGAACGATCTTTTAATTCAATGATCATGTACTCTTGCTACAAGTGTAGCTGGTAACTAATGATAGATAATTCCAGACAGGATTAAATGTAACAGGCTAGAAATCATGTTTTATTTAGTCTGTCACTTTAGATGAAATTGGTCATTACTGATGAGTTATCCAGGAAGGCCGTTGATGTAGACTGCCAAGTGCCAAGTTCTTGAACTCAGCATAAAAAGCATACATACTCTGACAGTCTGAAAAATGTCAGTTGTCATTTGATTTAAGTGGAAATTTTATCCATACAAAAACTATAAAACTTCAAGCAATTTATACTCTTTTTATTAGACATACAATAATAAATATCTACATGTATACTACTTTCAGTTTAATAAAGTTTAAAATATGAAGCCTCAAATTGTTGTGATGTTTTGCCTTGAAATGCTCTGGCTTATTGTGTATACAAAGCTGGTCAGACACTTGTGCACCTTATCAATTGATCTATTGCAGTTAGTGAAGAGAAGAAAAGTATTGTTATACAAGATTAACTGTAATAAAGATTAGTGATAATACAAGCTTCAGAAAAGTTCACATATATCTTCAGATTCGGTTTCAAATCATACCAGCACTGATATAGGTCATGTGAATTTTTTAGCATGGACCTTAGGTGCCCCTCTGCATTACTTCAGTCATGACGTTTCTAAATCAATCGAAATACAGTATAATACTCTTCAATATGTTCATTTATTTTCCTGGCTATGCCGACATCACTGACTGTCGTAATATTGTAAATGATACATTATTCGGTCTCATATACTGTCTAAGTTTAAACATAATGCAGTCTTCTGGGATATAGAGATTACTAGTTCTGTATTCTTCTAAGTGATAGATATTCCTTCTTTTTGTTCCTACTGCTCTTGTTCAGACCATTTCCAGCACTTTTCCTATTTCCTTCAACTGATTGGTAAAATTCTGAAGATAAAAAATTATAGAATTTTAAATGCCCTATTAAAATTACACTAACATCATCCACCTAATCTTGAATATAAGCATGTGCTTGAAAATCAAGTACTGTACTCAAAAGTTCTGATGTAAGACAATTTTTACATTTTGCAAGATTATTAATATTATTAGTACTTCTTTTTGTTCTCAATCAAAGAACCGTTTTCTTTAAGGGAAATAGATTGTTCTGAGAAATATACAAGTGGAAATGAGGGGTAAAAGGTGATTTATTGCCCTCTAAAAATCATAAAAACATGAAAAACTTCTTATCACTGCTTAGTACAAAGGAAATTTTATCTACTTTGGATTTGATATTTAGTCAAAACAGAAAATTGTAAGCATTGCCAAAACATCTCAAAACCGTAGTTTCAACTATTCTACTTGCAAAGTTTTTGTTAAATAAAAAATCAATTGATTTAGTGATAGTAGACAAATACTTTTAGCTTATGTCACTATGGTATAACATTCAATTATACAATTATGCAAAATATAATAAATCCTTACATTCATACACCGAATGAAAACAAAGATTTTCAACAAACTATGATAGATGCATCATGTATCCAGGACACCCAGCTTTTTGCCTACCTCAACTTACCCTAAATTGGTCCATCGTAAGTTCTAGTGGATGTGTTTTGAGATTTCCCCCTGCGTCTGCTACTGTCAAGGTCAAGGTCACAAATGGGGAGTTTAACTGTCTACATGTGTCCGAGCTCATTGCCATGCCCACTTTCCATTGAACATCAATTAACTGTAAGAGAATAAATCAAGTTCTTCTTTTAAAATTAAATGTTAAATTGGAGATTTTGTTCTGGAAATAAAGAAATTAAATAAACAATAACATTTTTTTTTTTTTGGTAACTTATTACATTTTTGTACTCTCAAATTTTGCATACATTTATAATATTAATAAAAGTTTTACTGTCTATTATTGAATAAAACTTTTAATAAAAGTACAATATTAATATTATATTGTCACCTTAGTGCAATAACTGATTAATTCTCATTAAATTTATGACTTATTCCGTTACTGCACTAAGGTGATAATTTGTTCTCATATTATTGAGTTAATCATTCAGCACTTAGCAATTTTACAACTGAATCTGCTCTATACCTTATGTCTCAAAAATCTACGAAACAACAAGTTTAATTATTGCATAGACCTTACAAATTACATATACTAAGATGTTATTAATTAATACAGGTTGCAAAACAATACAAATATTATATTGGAAAGACACTTTCATTCATTATTTCATTATGAGTATTCTGATCAGTATCACCTTAAAATCCGTAATATTATAAATGAACAGTTCCACATTCAAAGGTGGACCAGTCCAATTCACAAATTTAAAAAGGAATGGATGTAAAATATCAAATACCTGACCAACTCCCAGCACATGATCCCCCAAACTACATGACATCAGCTGCTTGCCCTGAAAATAGTTTAAGGGGTGAGGAAACTGTTATTTATAGAAATGAAACAAGCCGATGATCTAGTATACAAAAGAAATCTCCTATAGACAGCATAAAAATTATGTTCAATTTCAGACCAGTATTTTAAAGCACCCACTTTCTCATATCTGAGCCACAATTTGAAAGATTTTCCCCAGTGAAAAACAAGATTGCATTTGAGAAAAATGCTATGCCACCGCATTAATACAACACTAAATAGTAGTGTAGGAACAGAATTCGTCACCTTAGTGCAAGAACTCAATAACTGCTATTAAATAAAGAAGCACTTATTACGTTCTTGCACTAAGTTGACGACTGATTTTCTTTGTTTCTATACAATTTTGAAGATTGTCATAATGCATAGATCCCTGACCTATCTAATTCTTATTATCAGATTAGTTAAATCTGTTGTTAACTCAACAAAAGATCAGAGTAGGAATATACCAATGCACTTGAGTCTAGTGAATTTGGTGTTGAAGGTCATATTTCACACAGCCTAAATTTCATGACTACATCAAAGGACAACATAGTAAGACACTTTGTCAAAATCTAGGTCAGCTGAAATCAAAGTTCACTTAACATCTTAATCTGTACACATGGTTCAAATTTCATAGCTGTACATCAAAGGACAAGAAAGTAGGTCACATCATCAAAATCTAGTTCACCTGATATCAAAGTTCAATTTTACAACTAAAACTGTGCACATGGTCAAAATTTCATTGCTGTACATCAAAGGACAAGAAAGTAGGTCACTGTCCCCTTGGGCAAGGCAAAATTTTGGACCCAAGGGTTTAATTCAAAACAATCTTGATACAGGTCCACCAAACAACATTTCAAGTCAAATATCTAAGCTGTAGCTTTCTCCTATTCAGAAAAGATTTGTTTTATTTTCTGTTTTTACTATGTGAACATAATGAGAATCACTGCCCCTGGGCAGGGCCAATTTTAACACTAGGGGCATAATTAAAACAACTTTAGTAGAGAACCCATAGAATATATTATAGAGCAAACATCAAAGCTCTATGCCTTGTACCTTCAGACAAAAATATTTCTTTTTTTTTTACTATATGTACTTAGTGAAAATCAATGACTCCTTGGGTGGGGCCAATTTTGACCCCAGGGCTATAATGTGTACAATCTTGCTAGAGGTTCACTACATAATGTTTCATGCAAAATATCTTAACTCTAGCCTTTGTAAATTTAGAGAAGATGATTTTTTAAGTTTTTACTATATACATATAAGGAAAACCTATGGCCCATGGGGCGGGTCTTATTTTGACACAAGAGGCAAAATTTGAACAACTTTGGTAGAGTACCTATAGATGATATCATTTAACAAATATTCAAGCTCTAAGCCTTGTACCTTCAGACAATAAGATTTTTTTATTTTTTACTATATGTATATATTGAAAATCAATGACCCCGGGGCAGGGGCAATTTTGACCCCAGGGCTATAATTTGAACAATCTTGCTAGAAGTTCACTTCACAATGTTTCATGCAAAATATCTAACCTCTAGCATTTGCTAGAAGAAATTATTTTACTATAAAGTTTTTACTATATACATATAAGGAAAACCAATGACCCCCGGGGCAGGGCCGATTTTGACCCCAGGGCTATAATTTGAACAATCTGAGTAGAGGTCTACCAGACAATGCCTTATGCAAAATATCTAAGCTCACAGCCTTTTGGGTCTTTACAAGAAGGTATTTTAAGTTTTTACTTTATGTACATATAGTGAAAATCAATGACCCCCGGGGCGGGGCCGATTTTGACCCCAGGGCTATAATTTGAACAATCTTGGTAAGGGTCTATCAGACAATGCCTTATGCAAAATATCTAAGCTCTAGGCCTTTTGGGTCTTTACAAGAAGTTATTTTAAGTTTTTACTATATGTACATATAGTGAAAATCAATGACCCCCGGGGCGGGGCCGATTTTGACCCCAGGGTTAAAATTTGATTAATCTTGGTAGAGGTCTACCAGACAATGCCTTATGCAAAATATCTAAGCTCTAGGCCTTTTGGGTCTTTACAAGAAGGTATTTTAAGTTTTTACTATATGTACATATAGTGAAAATCAATGACCCCCGGGGCGGGGCCGATTTTGACCCCAGGGTTATAATTTGAACAATCTCGGTAGAGGTCTACCAGACAATGCCTTATGCAAAATATCTAAGCTCTAGGCCTTTTGGGTCTTTACAAGAAGATTTTTTAAATTTATTCTTATAATTCCTTTTGGTTGCCATGGCAACCAGATTTCTGCATGGAATGAAATTCTTTGAACAACTTTGGAAGCCCTTCACCCAAGGATCAATCCTGCCAAGTTTGGTTGAAATTGGACAAGTGGTTTTTCACAAGAAGATTTTTTAAGTTCACTATATAATCTATATAACACACACACACACAAACAAACACACACACAGGTGAATCGCTATATGCCACCGCATCGCAGATGCTGCGGTGGCATAAAAAAGGAAAAAATCCTTTTAAAATGATTACAAATGCAATAATCTTGGAAACTTTTGAAATTAAAAGTCAAATCAATGTTTTTCAGTTTCAATGCATATTACACAATAACAATGATTATTCTAGTAAAACAGAGTGAACAAAATAAATTTTTGCAAACAAGTTATTGGTATAGACCTACATCAACTGGTATGAGAATCTCTATAAAAATTCCAAATTAAATGTTATTCAAGTCCATTACATAAATTTAGCAGAGGAAAGATGCAGCCAGTGCTTTAAATGCATGATAACTCTGGGTTTCTATACATACAAGGAAGGTAGAGATATGATCATATGTGCATTGGTTTATTTTTCAACGGCACAGAAACAATCAAGCAAATTCAATAACAGCCATGAAAATACATAAACACATACTGTTTTATTTTTCAATACAAGAAAATACTAGAACTCTGCGAGTCGGATGTGTCGCCTTGTGAACAATATAGTTTAAAAGAAATGGCCAGGACAAAAATGAAATATGAAAATTTACAAAGGGCAATATTCAAAAAATAAGAAGTGCAGAGCAGCAGTTTCTGTGCACTGCACTTTTATCAATAAGATCTATCATTCTATGAAGTTTCAAGTCCATATCTTTTATAATTTATGAGAAATGGCCTGGACAAAAATAACATATGAAAATTAATAAAGGGTAATAACTCAAAATTAAGAAATGCAGAGTACCGGTTTTTGTACACTGCACTTTTTCTTAATGAGATCTATCATCCTATGAATTTTCATGTCCATAGATTTCATACTTGAGGAGAAATGACCAGGACAAAAATAAAGTAAGAAAATTAACAAAGGGCAAAAACTCAAAAAATAAGAAATGCAAAGTACAGGTTCTTGTGCACTGCACTTCTCCTTAATGAGATTTATCATTTCATGAAGTTTCAAGTTCATAGCTTTTATACTTTCGGAGAAATGGCCCGGACAAAAAATAAAGTATGGAAATTAACAAAGGGCAATAACTCAAAAAACAAGCAAATTCGTTGAATTTATATCCCCCGCCGAGTACTGGTTATTATTAACACAACAACTGAAGACATAAGGCTTTATTTCTATATTAATCATGGCATAAACAGTAATATTCTTTGAACTTGATAAATATTCAGGGCAATAACAAAGCCATAACTTTGTTTTAAATAGTAATATCTGGAAATGCCAATGAGATGTATGCATACTACATAACTAATAAAGGGCCATAAATCTGAGTTATAAGTATCTGACCGGAACAAGGCGACTATATGCAATCTCCTCTTAGTATCCCATAAAGTTTCATTGAATTCCAGCCAGTAGTTACAGAGAAGTAGCACGGAAACGATTATTGCTCTGGTTGTATAAGTTATCAAGGGTCATAACTCTAAGTTAAAATGTCTGACCCGAACAAGGCGACAATATGCGCATCTCCTCTTGGTATTGAAGGTTCCAATAAAGTTTCATTGAATTCCAGCCAGTAGTTGCAGAGAAGTAGTGAGGAAACAAATATTTTTCTATATGGATACTGCATAACTAATCAAGGGCCATAACTCTGTGTTAAAGTGTCTGACCCCAACAAGGCAATGATATGCGCATCTTCTGTTGGTATTGAAGGTTCTCATAAAGTTTCATTGATATCCAGCCAGTAGTTGCAGAGAAGTAGCACGGTAACGATATTTGCTCTATATGCATACTGCATAACTAATCAAGGGTCATAACTCTGAGTTTAAGTGTCTGACCGGAACAAGGCGACGATATGCGCATCTCCTCTTGATATTGAAGGTTCCCATAAAGTTTTTCGTTGAATTCCAGCCATGAGTTGCAGAGAAGTAGCGCAGAAACATTTTTTTCTCTATATGCATACTGCATAACTTATCAAGGGCCATAACTCTGAGTTAAAGTGTCTGACCGGAACAAGGCAACGATATGCGCATCTCCTCTTGGTATTGAAAGTTCCCATAAAGTTTCATTGAATTCCAGCCAGTAGTTGCAGAGAAGTAGCGCGGAAACAATTGTTACTCCATATGCATACTGCATAACTAATCAAGGGCCATAACTCTGAGTTTAAGTGTCTGACCGGACCAAGCTGACGATATGCGCATCTCCTCTAGGTATTGAAAGTTCCCATAAAGTTTCGTTGAATTCTAGGCAGTAGTTGCAGAGAAGTAGTGCGGAAACAATTTTTACTCTATATGCATACTACATAACTTATCAAGGGCCATAACTCTTATTTACAGGGTCTGATCGGAACAAGCTGACGATATGCGCATCTCCTCTTGATATTGATGATTCCCATAAAGTTTCGTTGAATTCCAGCCAGTAGTTGCAGAGAACTACTCCGGAAACGAAATTCGGACGGATGGACGGACGGACGGACGGACGGACGGACAACGCCAAAACTATATCCCCCTCCCGATTCCATCGGCGGGGGATAATAAGAAGTGAAGAGTACCGGTTTTTGTGCACTGCACTTTTATCGTCATTTATCATCCTATTAAGTTTCAAGTCCATATACCTATTGTAGTTGAAGAGAAATGGCCCGGACAAAATCAAAGTATGAAAATTTACAAAGGGCAATAACTCAAAAATTTAGAAGTGCAGATAACTATTTCTTGTGCACTGCACTTCGGGTTATTGAAAGAAGCATGCATACCAAGTTTGAAGTCAATCCAACTTATAGTGACTGAGCTTTGCCCGGACAAGCTTTAGGGGACGCCGACAACAACACCGCCGACGCCAACACCGCTGCCAACACCGCCGACAAAAGTAACCCCTATATGTCGCCTTTTCAAGGCGACACAAAAAGGTCAGAAGCTTTTTTGGAATTTCCAATTTGCAGGAAAGTTCAGTATATTTCAAATTTGCAGAAAATTTCAATATATTTCAAATTTGCAGGAAAATTCTGTATTTTATCAATATGGCGATTTTTTTCTTTGCATTAGTTATGAAAATAGTCTATTCTTTCTTAGTCTATTAATGCAATATAAAGATTCTATGGTATATCATTATGAACTATCATTTTAAAGCTGCCTGCCCTTAATTTGTTCAATAACTTTGGAGATTACCAGTCATCGAATTTAGCACTGGCCCGGTGGACCATGGCCGGTGAAAATTAGTTCAGCCAGTGAAAAATTTAAGAAAATTTAGTTAAATATAGAGTAGAATAAATTCAAAACTGGAAATTTGGGCTAGTAAATTGAAAATCTTAAATTCATTGACTGGATTACTCATCAACATAGAAATAAAATGTGTGTTCAGAAAACATAAATGCCTCTATGACATGTGTTTATAACTAACGAAACTGCATTGAAATTTCATGAATTTTTAAAATTTGACCTTGAATGTTAAGAACATTCAAGTGTGAAGGCTATATTTCAACAAGAGCGATCTGTGATTACATATGTCGCCTCATGATAGTTAATTGCATGGTCGAGCTACTGTGTAGCAGAAGACACATAAATTATTAACAGGGCAAAATGCCATTTATATCTAAGGGTCATACATATTTCCAGATCATTCCTGTATAGTTGAAATTGAACCTGTAGTTCTGATAAGTAGTCCGGACAAGCTTCTATGTAGCTGCCAACAAAAAAACCACCTTTTATATTCAAGGGCCATTATTCGACCAAATATTATTCAACCTGAAAATCTGTGTAATTTGGACATGTACTTGAGCTACAGATCAAAACTGTAAAAGTTTAATTAAAATTGTATTACTGGTAAAAGAAGAGTAGTCCTGACAAACTTTAAAATAATAATTATTAAAGAGCCACAACCCTGACAAAAATCATTGAACCAGAAAATGCCCAAGATATGCACAACTTAACTTGGTACTGATAATTCCTGTAAAGTTTGGATGAAATTGCACCAGTAGTTTCTGAGGTGTAGTCCATAAAAGTTTTGTGACGAACAGACGAACGTGCTCAAAGTTTGGTATCCAAGTGGTTACTTATTTATTCTCTATTTTGTTCTTTTAGCCACATAAAAAATGGCCACATAAGAGCTTACTGAATGAATAGCATCAAAAGAAATTTACAGTTACCTATTGTTCCCATAGCCCCCTTAATATCTATATGTTTGTACAGACAGGCTGACAGACAAACGATCTAGAAGTGATCTCTATATGTCGCCACTATTCTGTAGAGGCGACACAAAAATCATACTTTTGTGCTATTTTTAGCTCGATTTGAGTGAAAAGTGTAGTAACTTAGTAACAGTTTTGTGTCACTGTTCACAATAATAATAACTTTTCTGGAAAAACAAACTGAGACAATGATCTGATTTTTTTAACAAAAGTTAATGGTCTAGACCTACATGAAATGGAACATTAATCTTCAAAAAATATTTCAGTCTGGTATGACAAAAAAAAACTCAGTGGAGTCCCTTTACACATACAAGAAGCATACATGAAGCATGAACATAGTATAGTTTATCTTTATCTTGTCCTAATATTTTTTCAACAAAGGGAGACAACAAATGTCAGATATGAAATAACTGCTCAACAGAGTTATCTTCTTAAGATTAAAAGAGAAAGAGGAAGTTAAAAACAAATCCAGGAAAACCAAATTACTCTCATTGTTGTTAGCAACTTGGAAACTTCTCAAATGTTTTGTTTTTCTTTAAAATACTTGTGACTTCAGGATCTTAAATCTGCAGCAGATATAAACATAAAGGTATAATATAAAGGTAAAATTTAATGATTTCTCGATACTACTGACAAGTTTTTATTTCAAAAAGAGGTCAAGTTTTGTAATTGATTAAAGAAAATTTGGGAAATTTTGTCAAAAACTGACTAGTGTTGATTAAAAAGTCAAAGTTTTGGATTTGATTGAGATTTTCGAATCATAGGGTGTATAAAATTAAACAGTATAAATCATTTTTCACCAAATAAAAATTCTATATACATTTCTCATAAAATAACAAAATTTGATAACCATGATGATGATGATGATGATGATGATGATAACAACTTATTTTTAAAAAAATTTCTATATTTTAAGGAAAATTGACAATTTAACAAAAAAAAAACAATATTAATCTGATAATGGTTATCTTAGATAAGAAAATCAGAAGAAGAAGTAAAGAAATTGAATATGTTAGAAATGAACATTATTGATACTTTCAGAATGTATCAAGTACCAAATTACACCCAGATTGTGTCAATGACATTATCAGAGGTTCTGGCTGATATAGGTGTTGATGAGAGAATGATACTGAAGAGGAGAAGAACATGGCTTCTGATAGAATCACTATGGAATATAAATAACCAAATACTTGATGAGAAAGCAGTGTTAATGCACATTTTTGGGAGTCAATCAGAAGGTACAACTACAAATGAAATGGACTCAGACATAGATCAACTTGCGTACAATAAAACAATAAATGTGATACAAGACTGGAGTGACTGGATACCTGGTGTACTTAATCTCTTGATGATTCAAGATAATTCTGTATCTCCTGGGTATTGTTTACTTCAACGTCTGAGAGATGATGTACCGCTTTCTGCTAATGGTGATTCTGATCAATACTTCTTCAAAGACAGAACAGGAAAATTATTTTTAAAGAATTCTGTTGTATATATTTGTAATAGCGACAGTGAAATACATGGGCCAGCAGGTGTACTAAAAGGACAACCAGGCTACAAAGATTTAGATAAAGTGTTTGCTCTACATTGTACAACATGGCCGCAACAAGCTAGACAATGGTTGGATCAACAATATGAAGGTCAATGGCCATCTGCTGAAATGCAACAATATTGCAGCAGAACGGGATGCTTTGTTGTTTGCGTTGGATGTCAAGGCAGTAAGCATGAGCACCTTGAATGGAGAATATCAACATCTTTAGCAGAAAGGTGTTTAATGTTCAACCTGAATATTACACAGATTCGCTGTTATGTCTTAATGAAAGTGATTTTAAAAGCATATATTACTCCATTCTTTCAAGATGTGATATCCAGTTACATGTGTAAAACTGTAGTATTCCACTGTATTGCAAATACACATTCTAACATCTGGAGAAAAAATAACTTACTTTCTTGTCTAACACAGTGTTTATATCTCCTGTACACAAATATCATTAATGAAAATTGTCCACATTTTATCATACCCAGGAACAATTTAATGAGGGGAAAAATTTCACCTGCTGTGAAACCATATATCCTGGAAATACTCAACAATATTATCAACAGTGAAGGAGTGGCACTACTTGGCATTAAATGTGATTATCTTGGTTTCAGGCTTCATGCCAAATTTAATGACTTATCTTCAATCAAGGCAAGTGACTTTATTTCAGAAGGTCTATTATTAGATCTGGATCTCGGAAAATCTTTCACACTAACAGAAACTTGTAATCTTCTTAAGGACAGTAGTCCTAATGAAGCTGTAGAAAAATTAAAAAACTATATATTAAAAGCATTCTACTGTCAATATGAAGGATTGGATAAGACAGCCAGTCTTCTTCTGTTACCATTGTATTGTACAACACTTGGATCTGTACTGGCTTCATGCAACATTTGTCAGTACAACACTGTATCAGCCGATGCCCTCAAACTCATCTCACTTGGTCTGAATACAGATGTTGCATCAAGTAAACTTAAATTAGCTTCAATCTTATACTGCGTTCAAAAAATACAAAAAACTGACCTAGTACTCAGTGAGATTGAAAGTAGATATGATCTACAAATTGTTAAGCCTGTCTGTTTTTGTTATCAATTTGAGAAAAAATTATTTAAACAAGGATTTTGCCAATTATGTGACAATTATAATGAAGAAGTCTTACAGTATACAACAGCATCATGTGTTAAATTTCTGCCATGTGAAATTCACTGTGTACCAATTGAACTCAGATATGAAATTTTTAGATCTACACAAGAGGACAGAATGTTTCGTACAAAAAATGATGAGTGGATGGATTTTGCTGTGGTGGATTCCCTCCCGTACCTCTACTTTCTACGATACAAAGTTTACAGCCATTTAGGAAGACATGACCTGAAACAAGCCGCCCTCTTCAAACTTATCAGTACCATAAAAGAAGAACCAAATCTTGGACATCGGGAAACAGCTCTAAATATTCTTGGAAAATGCATGGAACAAGAAGGTAGAGCTGGAGATGCTTTATACTGTTATTTGATGTCACTAAATGTAAGGAGGAGAAACAATGCCGCAAAGATTCATATTTGTATACTTCTATCTGTACTGATAAATGCAAGGACATAAAAGTTACGACAAAAAAAGTGAAAATGACAAAAGCAGGACAGTAAAAGAAAGTTGGAATAACTACAAGTTAGATACAGACAGCAACATTTATACTATTTAAATATCATATTCTTTTTGAAATATTGACGAATCAGACGTATCTACGGCAGTTTGCATTGAGTCAATGCAAACTGCCGTAGATACGTCTGATTCGTCAATATTTGACCAATCGGCGACACGCTAATACACTGTGGCTGTTTGTTGACAATTACACAAATTACACAAAATGGCGACAAATTCAATCAATTTTCGCCTATTGAATGATTAAAGACCTCTGCATATACATAATTGCTGCGGTGTTTTGGCGAGTAAAGATAAACAATGCCCAACGTCTTAAAGGTGTGGTTATGTTAGAAACCTCGATTGTTAAACATTTTTTCGGAGCACTTATCTGTAGAAATTATGTGAAGATTTGTATCTAATGTTATATTAATACATTGAACTCCGTAAAGTAAAAAGGCTGATTATACAAAATTAAATGCCTTTACAGTAACATCCCATTTGTAAAATTGAAATTTAACATTTTTTTACAAACAGATTTATCAATATAAATTACATTTTTAATCAATATGTAACTTTTAAATACTAATGTAATGGTGTAGTTTATAATCTTAACCAATTATACATGCAATTTTAATGCTGTCTTGTTTTTTTATAAATGATATTTGGTATGTTAAATATCAATAAAAAATACAATTAAACCCTAAGTATGGTACTATCCTGCTTTTCAACAAAATATTGGTATGATATGTTCATATATCCTAATCATGTAGAGACTGTCCACAGTGACTCCCTGTCTATAATGACCTTTTTTCTTTTCTCCCATCGAAGGTCACTGTAAACAGTTTTTACTGTTGCATATTTCTTGTAAATAACACACTTTGATATGACTTGCATAAAGAAATTCATCCATCCCTGTGTGGAACAGCTCATTCAACTACTCTCATATAATAAAACAAGATAATGTAGGAATATAAACGAAAATCATTCAAAAAATAAATTACATAATTTTGAGACAAAAGAATCTTTTTTTATTTCTTGTGCACTGCACTTTTCAAAGCGATCTATCATCCTATAAAGTTTCAAGTCCTTTGCTTTTATAGTTTAGGTGAAATTGCGGGACAAAAATAAAGTAAGTAAATTAACAAAGGGCAATAACTAAAAAATCATGGAGTACAGAGTACTGGTTTTTGTGCACTGCACTTTATGTCAATGAGATATATCATCCTATGAAAGTTCATGTTCATAGCTTTTATAGTTTATGAGAAATGGCCCGCACAAAATAAAGTATGAAAATTAACAAAGGGCAATAACTAAAAAATCATGAAGGATAGAGTACAGATTTTTTAAACACTGCACTTAATCTCATTGAGATCTATCATCCCATGAAGTTTCCAGTCCATAGCTTTTATATTCATGAGAAATGGCCCGGACAAAAATAAAGTATGAAAATTAACAAAGGGCAATAACTAAAAAAATTGAAATGCAGAGTACCGTTTTTTGTGCAATGCACTTCTCCTTAATAAGATCTATCATTCTATGAAGCTTCAAGTCCATAGCTTTTATAGTTTAGGGAAAATGGTCTGGACAAAAATAAAGTATGAAAATTAACTAAGGCCAATAACTCAAAAATTAAGAAGTGCAGAGTAATGATTCTCGTGCACTGCACTTTGGGTCATTGAAAGAAGCATGCATTCAAAGCAAGTTTGGAGTCAATCCGACATATAGTGACTGAGTGATGCTCCCAACAAGCCAAAGGGAACGCCGCCAACACCCATTAAGTTAACCGCTATGTTGCCCTATTCAATGCGACACAAAAATGTCTATCAATCAATGATGGGGAAGCAAAATCTAACAACATATATGTAATATGGATTTAAAGCATACAGTTTACAGTCTTTTTGAAAACAAAGTTTTTATCGATTTTCAGAAATCAATGTTTTATCATATACTTAACTGCAGTAGAATCCCTACTTATGACCAAATCAGATTTAAGACCACCCCGCTATTAAGACCACTTTTTAAAAAACTGGAATTTTCTTATCTTTATTTCAAAAGTTACATTCTACAGAATTAAGACCACCCAGGTTATCCACTTTTGAGACCACCAAGTTCAGTCAAAATTCTTTGATTTATTCTTTTTTTGAACTCACTATTGAGACCATTGATTTTAAAGTCAACCCCTTCTAAGATCTCATATTTGTTTGAATGCTCTTAGGCATGACACTTGATTTAACAAGGTGTCAACAACTGTCATTATAAGGTTATTGTATGAAATAAGGTGTGAAAGTACATTTTTAGGTTACTATGGTTCTAAGAATAATATTTCAGTGGATGAATTTTTTGAATACTTTTCGTCTATTGGAAACGACATTTTTCAGTCAACAAATGATGAATCTGAAAATTTTGAAACAATGTATGATTTTAATTATACTGACAATGGTGATGAAATTTTAGATAGGCATTTTACTATTGAAGAAATTACAGCGGCTGTTAAAACATTGAAAAGGAATAAATCTCCTGGGAATGATTTTTCTTTTAAATGAATACTTCATTGAATCTATTGATATATTAGGGTGTCATATTTGCGATATTTTTAATTGTATATTAGATAGTGGTTTTTTCCCCAAATCCTGGACTGAGGGTGTTATTATCCCACTGCATAAAAAGGGAGACGTAAAATAATGTTAATAACTATAGAGGTATTACACTAGTTAGTTGCTTGTCTAAATCATTTACAATGATTTTAAATAAAAGGATTATGGATATTTTGTGAACAAATAACTTGTTGTCTGATGCACAGTTTTGGTTTTTCGGAAAGGGAATTCAACTGTAGATGCCCTGTATATTTATTGTCTGTTATTCAAAAATACCTAAATGAGAAAAAAGTGTCTATACTGTGTATTTGTGGATTTCAAAAAAAGGCCTTTGATAGTATTTACAGAAAATGCTATGGCTCAAGTTATATAATATTTGGTATTAGAGGTAAATTGCTACGTATTTGTTAGAGATATGTTACGATAAGGTTAAATCTTGTATAAAAACATTGTAATTGTTATTTTCTGATTTTTTTTAATATTGCTGTAGGTTTCTCCGTCAAGGGGAGGTAATTTCACCGATAATGTTTCTCTGTTTTTATTGATGACGTCGAGTTATTCTTAGAGCAGGATATAAACAGTGGACTTCAATTAAATGATATTATACTTTATGCTTCTACTTTTTGCTGTGATGACATGGTAATTTTGGGTGATCACCAGAACAGATTAACAAAAGTTTAAATCTTCTCTATTCATATTGTGAAAAATGGAGTCTGAATGTTAATATTGATAAACTAAAGCAATGGTTTTTAGAAAACGTGGTGGGTTGTTATCTAATGAGGAATTTTTGTATAATGGTGAAAAACTCGAAATTGTTAGTAATTTTAATTACCTTGGAGTTGTTTTTTAATTACGCGGGCACGTTTGTTTTAAATCAGGAACAGATAATAGGAAAAGCCTTAAAGCATTAAATGTTCTACTTATAAATTGTAAAAAGCATAAACTTAATCCCAAAATATTATGTCAGTTATTTGATGTGTTTTGTCGGATCCATTCTTTGTTATGCCTCGGAAATTTGGGGAAATAGTAAGTCAAAAGAAATTGAAAGAATTCATCTTAAGTTTTGTAAAAGAATACTTTATGTTAAAATGAAATGCATGTAATGCAAGCAGTTTTATGGTGAGCTGGCTCGTTATCCTTTATACATTACAAGATATTTACAGATAGTAAAAAGTTTGGCTGAAATTATTACAAATAGACAATATCATTCTTAAAAAGAAATTTATAATATATCTTATGAAGACTGTATAAATGGTAAGAAAAATTGGCTTTCAAGTTGTTAAAGATTTATTATCGTCGTATGGTTTTATGTATGTATGGCCCAATCAAGGGGTTTTATGTAGTAAATTGTTTTTATTAGAATTCAAGCAGCGTTTAATTGATTCCTTTTGTTACAAGCTGGCATGCTGATATTGTAAATAGTCCTGTTTTATTGTTATACAAGGATATAAAAAATGTGTTCCACAGTATGAAAAAATCTGGATTTATTACCTAGTAGCCTTAGGCATTATAATTAGTAGAATAAGATTATCAGCACATGTGTTACTTATACAGTCTGGTCGTTATGGTTCAAATAGGATACCAAGAAAATGAACGTTTTTTGTATATACTGGAGCTTACATGAATTGAAAGATGAGTACCACTTTGTTTTGGTTTGCATGTGTTACAATGACCTTAGAAAGAAATTATATTAAGAAATTTTACTACGTTTTAGACCTAGTATGTATAAATTTTTAGAATTATTAAATAGTTGATTTAATAAGATTATTTTACGTAACCCTTGCTTGTTATATACGAGAAGCATTGGCTATGAGATAATATCAGTTACACATCGTTGAATTCACGGTTAATCCTCTGTGTAACATAGCGTAGATAAATAAGTATTGATTGCATAATGTCTAACTTTAAATATAGATTACATTTTGCTTTGATAATATTTTGCATATGTTTTGTATTAACGGAATTATAAATTAAGCAATAAAAACATATGCTTTGCTAACATTTGACTATGATATTATTATGTAATGTGACTTATACTTAAATATATTTAATTGTTTGTATTGTGTAGACGATGTATTTTGTACAAGTCTGAAAATAAAGTTTCTGTTCTGTTCTGTTCTATTTTCCTTTCAGTACATTTATTTTGTAAATAATTGATTTCTTATATGATAGTTGAAATATGTACATTATATAATAATTAATATTGAAATCAGACCAAAGAGAATTTAATATTAAATTTCTTCAGAAAAAAATGTTTTGCTCTCATATGATTAAATATTATAACATATTTTGTATTTGTTATACATATTGTTTGTTCAATCAACATGACTAAAATAGACCATGGTCATAAAGTATGTAAGCAATGATAAGAATATTCACAATTGAGACCATTGAGGGTTTTTTTGTACTTGTATATAAATTTTTTCAAGATATTAAAATTCTTGTAAAGGCAGACAGCTTGAACATTAAGGGGTGACATAGGAGGAGTATATATATGGGATACCTGAGTGGACCATAAGTTACATAATATGGTGCAGGTCTTATCAGAAAATACCATACTAGAATCAAGCTCAGCTGTTAACTCTTCTACGGTCACACGATATCTTGCTGCCGACCTAAAATAAGATTTCATGCAGTGAACTTGACATATGAAATAAAATGTCATATCAATACATGTATGATATTAGTTATTAAGATATTTTGACAGGTTATATGACCCTATATAAACAGTTTATTGTATATATAACCCAAGCCATTAGGTGAGTTATATTGCAATTAACCATTTATATATGGTCATATGACCTGTCAAGAATCTCTATAACAAATTTATAATACTGCAAACATCCTTTATAAGAAAAAAATTGAAATAACTTTATGAATCAACTGTAGCCGTTTATATAAATTACATAAACGTCATGATTATCAAATGAAAACAGAGCTTATACAACTTATTGTATATAAAAAGGCAAGTAATAAGAATTGTATATACTTCTATGACAAGAGACAAATTATTCAAACAGCACCTCTTTACTTTTATACATGTATTCCATCATCTCTTAAACAAGAAAGGGTCTAGACACCAGCAATAAAGTGTCAATTAAAAGGAAAATAAATCATTTACTTATTATTGTAAGTATAGACCAAACCTGAATGTATATATCAATGCATTTATTATGCTCTGAGTTTTCTGCAAATCATTCCCTTCTGCTGACTCTTCCAACTTCTGGAAAAAAGTAAAACAAAAGATTAATTTTCTAATCTATTTCAGTATTTGATTATCTTTAAGCCTGCTGGGGGTAACAAATTCTACCTATGCAACCAGTGCAGACCAAGATCAATCTGCACATGTTTAAAGATAACACATTATTGCCTTATGCAGTTCTAATCTACTCATCATTTTACGTAGTATATTAATATAACCACAAGATACTAGTGTATCTAAAGATCCTGTATGTTTTGTGATTGATATTGTTACTGTATGTATACCACACTTGCAAAAAATCACATATGTATATAATTTTGCAAATATAACATCGAAGAATATGTAAAATGTGTACTGCAAATATTTGTGCACATTATATTTAATCAATAGATTACATGCATTCATTTCTTATTGGAAAATTTGACTTAGAATTCATAGAAAATAAATTTCTAATTACCTCCCTTTATTTACATGGAATGTTAAATTGGGTAATATCTTTATAAATAATGCTTATTGGAACTTACAATATTGACATATCTTATTTTGAGCATCATATTTATGAAATAAAACCATGAAAAAATTGTGTTACAGGATCTTTAAGGGCTAATTTAAGACAGAAATTCTACAATATTCTTAAAAAAGGGGAAAGAGTGACCTTGTGGTTAAATAGCCTGCATCTCAACCCAGGGATCATGAGTTCCAGCTCTACTCTGGTAACAACCACAATTTTTCATATGACACCAGTATTGATTAGTTCCAGGAAGCAAACACAAAAGTGATTAATATAAGCTGCAAGAACTTGTATCAAGCTAAAATATCACAATCTATCATAATACAGACTGCTTCTCTGTTTGCAAATTTTCCCTCATCATCAGATACCCATGGCAGAACCATTGTTAATCAGCAGTGGGTATTGTGTCATTTATTTTCCCGTATTAAGATCTTGTGCCCAAAATTTTTCTTAAAGAAAACTGAGAGCAGATTACTTAACCTTTCTCCATTTTTCTGTATTTACAGCACCAATTTTATACTGTAGAAACTGCAACACTTCACTGCCCTGTAAATCATATAAAGTAGCAAATGTTAAGTTCCTAAAACTAATAAAGCAAAAAAAATGTGGCACAGATGACAATGTTACTAGTGTCTGTTAATTAATAACTTTCATAAAATGCTTTTTGCGGAACACAACTAAATCATTTTGTATATTAAAAAGAACACCAAATGTGGTGTTAATGCTCATCTGCTTAAAAATTCTGTTTAAAAGGGGCATAGCTCCAAAATTATTGCTTTTCAGAATTATGCCCCTTCTTTGAAACAACTGCACCTTGTATTCCAATTTTTCATGTTGATAACTTTTAAAATGTTTTAATAATTAATAATGGACTACATTAAGTTTTTGCATGACCAAGTTACAACAATTGACAGCATTTCACAGTGATCATAATTGCTTGACTTTTCTTCAAAACAGGACAAGAAAAAAATGGTGTATAAATTTTTATGCGAAAAAAAAAGATAGACTTTTTTCACTATAATAAGTCTAAATAATAAAAGAAATATATTAAATTAAGTTGTTTTCAAAATTGATATTGTGCACACTGTTCTGAGAATGTATAAATTGTCACACAATGTAAGTATTATAGTTTTATTTACCATTACAGAAAGTTTTCCATTATGAATTAAACATGATAGTACTTCTTTTTACACAAATATAATTACCAATTCAGTGAGATCCTCATGCTTCAAAGAATTTATCAATTCAATAGCAGATTCATATCCTGAAAACAAATACATGTATATGTTACTATATTGTATAAGATTACGTATTGCTAAATTTTTAAACGTTTACAAAGCACTATTAATTGTTTTTTATGAATTGTCAGTTAGTAACATCTTAATTTGATTACTGGGATATAATCTGGCAAGCAACTGTAGATAAGCAAGGTTCTGACCCAGAACAAAAATATCTCGGAATCTAGCTTTTACGCTAGTATGCTCGAAAATATTTTTGACATAGTATTGTCATTTTGGTTGCGTACGATTTCATTATCAAATAATCCCAACTTTGCTAAAAAAAAAAAAAAAAAAAATCACATAAATTATAGACAATAGTTCTGGTAAATTTGAAAAATGTATTGAACTAATAATGTTTATACAGGGAGTCAAAGGCCAGGATCAAGTTCATAGGTCATGCCTACCTTCATATTAGCATTACATGAGAAAATAATTTGATTAATGTATCCAGAGACATAGATAACATATTAGCCCAACAAATTGTGCACTTTAGGGCTTTTTATTATATTGACGATAGTTGCCCTAAATTGCATCTATGTAATATCAGATTATAAAATTGGTCGGTCTTCAACTCTTGCAGTCGAAATGTTGAGACTAATAACATCTCTGATGTATTAATTGGTACATGTATGTACATATGTTTATTGATTGTAATGGAATTGTGGAGAAAAATGTCGGTGCATTAGAAAAACCGGAAAAGCACTCAAATTTCTCATAAAAAATATGAAAACGTTAATTAATCGGTTTGAAAGTGTTACCCCCAATCGATTTATTAGATTAAAATCTTTCAGAAAAATCATTTTTTAAATATATATTGATAATTATTTACGAATATTTCGGAAAATAGATATATCCGAGTGCTCTTTCCGGTTCCTGTTAAGATACCATGTACATTACCGGATAGCAATCATTGTTTATTCAAAGTTATAACATTTGAAAAACTTTATTTTTATTGGTTTTGAAAGTGTTTCCAATCGATTTATTAGGATCAAAAATTTTACAGACAAGTCATTTTTAAAAAAAATATGTGATATAATTTTTACGATTATTTAGGAAAAATTAGATATCGTTATCTTTCCCCGGCCTGCTAGGTAAATGTACATTACCGGATTAGCAATATTGAATATCAAAGTAATACCATTGAAAAACTTTTATTTTATTGGTTTTAAAAGTGTTACCCAATTCGATTTATTAGAGATCAAAAAATTTTCAGACCCAACATTTTTTTTATAAATATCTATAATATAATTATTACGAGTATTTTAGGAAAAACTGAATGATATCGAGTGCTTTCCGGTCCTGCTAAGAACATGTTACATTACCGGATAGCAATATTGTTTATCAAAATTAATACATGACAAAAACTTTATTTTATTTTGGTTTGGAAAGTGTTACCAATCTATTTAGTAGTTGAAGATTGTATAATCATGACCCTTTTTTAAATATTTTATGTTTCATTACCGCGAGATTTTCAAAATTGTTAAAAGTTGTATTGGTTGCTTTCCGGTAATTGCCTAAAGTTTAATATACTTTACCGAATACCACTCGAATATTTATATAAATCACACTAATCCTTCATATTATTATGTGAAAGTGTTATAATTGATTAATTAAGTTGAACTTATTTCAATTAAAAATATTATGATTTAGTTACACGATTTTTCAATCTTGCTCATACCATAGATCAATGTATCATATTTCTAATATTTTATAGGTTGTGTAAGGACAGAAAGAGGCTGTGTAAAAAGGTACCAATAAAGTTATCCAAAGCATCGAACCATATTTTTATTATTTATATTTTTATATCATGTTAAATAAAGAAAAAACTTATAAATTTTCGTTCAGTTATGTCTTTATTTTTACCATACTATGTGTACCGAAAAAGCAATGTGGTCATCATCCAAGTGAAAAGGACAGTAGTTGTTGTATTTGTTTACTCACACGTGCTAATCCTTGTGATTTAAAAGACCTTGTATATTGTAGCACACAAAGGTATGATTTAATCAAATTTTGTACACAATTATGATAATTGAGACCTGCACATCAAAGTTGCATTAATTAGACACCAAAGCTTATTACATCATTGGAGGCATGTTAAATGCATGATATAGTGGCAAGACAATCGTTAAGATTTATCATATATGAATATAGAAATATAGAAATTTATAATCAAACATTAATTTCTCTAATGTAATCCGAAGAAGAAGAAGATGAAGACCATATTACTATCTGATTGATTTATTCTATACTGACACCCATTCTATTACTAACTTACGCAAATTTAAATTCGCAGAACCCTGAAAATTAAATGGCAACATATAAACAAAAAATATTTTAATATGTTAAAAAGCTTTTATTATGGGAAAACAAATTGACAATATAAATCTGGATTTCTTTCGTAATATATGTTGGGCCCTTAAAAGGGCCGTTTTTACCAGCAATACGTTAATATGTTTTTAAGCTACACAAAACTCTGCCGTAGTTTGCACTGATATTTGTGCATGCCGTTATTACCCGGTGTGCTTTACCCTCTAGATGCACGAGATCTCGCGCATAGTCCCCAGGAAATTTTATGTTAGGAAATCTCAAGAAATTGTTTTTGAAAGTTTTTGCTAAATTCTTATTTATGTGTACCCGCTGTTTATCAAAACATTTTTTGGTTAGCCCCGGACACTTGGAAAAATCACCACGTGTCAATATCTCACATACAAACACGTGCTTAGTTCCTCGTGCCTACTGTTTGTAAATACAATTAAATTATAAGTTTAAATGACTTTTCAATATCATATATAATACCTCAAATAATCAGTCAGTTAAATACATCAAGTTATTGTGTATTATTAACACCTCTTTAAATGTGATAATTAAATCAGCGTGTGTCCGTTCAATCAGCGTGTGCCCGTGTAATAAACGAGGCGTGAAGTGTACCTTGATTGATTTCAATATCATACTTATTTTTCAAGTCAAAGTCAAGTCAAAAAACATTTTATTCTCTCATTCCATGTACAAACATGACATAATGGAGTAATAAACATGAATAAAGTATAATGAGGCTCAAATAACAGTTAATTAACATACTAGCGAAAAATATAATAGAATTGTGCTTCCAGTCTTTAGGTACGTGGAGAGCCAAAATTGTTGTGTATATATATATTTACTAAAACATATATTAATAATAAAGAAAGCTAGTATTACATTCCAAAGGTATTTTTTCATTTTTTCTCGTCACACGCACGCGCACGCACCCAACACACACACACACACACATATATATATATTATGAATATACTTTCTATTTCAACAATGTGTAGTATTAAATTGACGATTACTGCTCAATAGTCGTAACGACAATCAATATTTTTAACGTAGATGAATATACTACAAAAATTTAAGTAACCATACGAATCATTTTTTAAGGTATAAAAGGGAAGTCTAAAAGTTATGGTATAGAGATGCGAATAGTAGATGAGGGGAGATAACAAAAAGGCTTTGTACGTAGATGTTGTTGCATCTTTACTTCCCTTTAGTTTAAGTGTTAGGTAATATTCAAGTGTTTAGTTATGCAGAGTGAATTTGAATATGATCTAGAAAAAACTTTCTGATCGGCGGGAACTTGGGGTCTCCGTCTACTCTATCGTGGACCTGAAATTCAATCAGAGCACGACCTTGGGCATGGAAGCTCCAATAAGGTCTTCCTGCGATGAAACGCTCGCCCCAGGCCGTGCCAAGTGCACTCCTGTTCCCTCGACGTTCCAATGGCGGTCGGGAAGACAGGAGTACCCCCCACTTCACGGGTGAGTCCTATTACAAAGGTGTCGGAGGCCACAGTTCCCACACGATCTTTACATATTTAATTAGCGAAAAGGCTATATCATAGTCCAAAGAGGAAAAAATAGTTCTTTTGTATAATGTAGAAAGAAATAACACATTTTCATATAATGCCGAAAAATACCATTAGATATTGAGATACAAAAGTGGAGTTGATTAGTATTTCTAAACCTAGACAACTTCTTCTGACCTTTCCTTTAGAAAAATCAAAGATCTGTGGTCTAGTTGAAATGCGGGATATTATAAATGTGTGCCACTGGGTCTCCCAAAACGAAACAGAGACTTTGCAGCACTTTTGATATTCGGAGAAAAGAAAGTTATGTATGTATATATGTTTGCTAAGTTCTGTTTTATATCTGTTTATTTTGTTCTTAGTAATTAGTTTCGTTTATTTTTATTCATTGCACTGTTTATTGTCAAAAATAAAAAAAAACATCACTGAAACAATTATTGTTCTTCTCTTTCTGCTATTTTGAATCCTCTTGTCTTCCATATAGCCTACAACAAATAAATATATTAATATATTAGACAAGGTACATACATTTTAAATATTTATATCCCATCTGTTTGTCTGAGGTAAGAGGACCAGTGCTTTTCGGTGATGTATTAGACTATTACTTCACAGGACCGGAAAGCAATAATGGAGGTGTGCAGGACCGGAAAGCACTCGATCTATATCTACTTTAATATCTATTTTAAACTTTTTTCATATAGTAATATTATTTATAAAAAAATAATGTCCTGAGAGATTTCTTCCTAATAAATCTCTTGGTAACGTTTTCAAAATCAATACAATGAAGGTTGTACGTTTTTTTTAGGGAAATTTCGAGTGCTATTCGGTAAATATACTTAACAAAACCGGAAAGCATCCTCAATTTCTTTTAACATTCCTAAATAATCGTTATAATAATCATATTACAATTATAAAAACATGTTGTCTGGAAAATTTTGATATATTAAATCGATTGGTAACACTTTCAAATCAATAAAAAAAGTTTTCATGTATTAAAACTTTGATATAAACTATATTGCTATCCGGTAAAAGTACATGTACCTTAGCAGGACCGGCAAAAGCACTCGATATATCTTATTTTTCCTAATTACTCGTAATATTTATCATTATATATTTTATAAAACATGTTGTCTGAAAGATTTTGATCTAATAAATCGATTGTAACACTTTCAAACAAATAAAATAAAGTTTTTCATGTATTACTTTGATATTCAATATTGCTATCCGGTAATGTACATGTACCTTAGCAGGAGCCGGAAAGCACACGATATATCTATTTTCCTAAAATAATCGTAAAAATTATCAATATATTTTTATAAAAAAATGACTTGTCTGTAAGATTTTGATCTAATAAATCGATTGGTAACACTTTCAAACCAATAAAATAAAGTTTTCATGTATAACTTTGATAAAACAATAATGCTATCCGGTAATGTAATGTATCTTAACAGGACCGGAAAGCACTCGATATATCTATTTTCCTAAATACTCGTAATAATTATCAAATATATAAATATAAAAATGACTTGTCTGAAAGATTTTAATCTAATAAATCGATTGGTAACACTTTCAAACCGATTAATTAACGTTTTCATATGTTTTTATGAGAAATTTGAGTGCTTTCCGGTTTTTCGGTGCTATCCGGTGCTTTCCGGTTTTTCTATGCACCCAGAAAAATGATTTCAATGTCCATCATTGGCCTATCAAACTGTCAGCTGACAGGAAGGTGGCTGTATGGAGAAAATGCATAAACACTACAGAATGAAAAGTAAATATTAAATAGTTAGCAAATTTCGACAGTGAATGTGTATTTACATGAAATTTTAACAATTCGTCAATTGTCAACAGGAAATTTTCCAACCTCATTTTCATCTATACTTTTTTTTAATTTATCTACTATTTTCTCCATGTTAGCCTTTCGTATTTTATTTTTGTTATATTTAAGCAATATTTTTGCTTTAATGTACTTTGTTTTCAGTGTTTTAAAGCCAACAGATGCGCAAAAAAGTTTATCCTTACCATTCGGTGCCTCTTTCATTATGGAAGCCATTTTGTAAACATCAAGCGTTTCACTGATAGTAATTTATAAGCGTCTGTTGACTTGAGAATCACGTGACATGTAGACTCGAGAGAGTCACATGATCAGGATGGGTTGGTTAAAGCAGACAACCAAATTACTTATTTTATTATATTTAGTGGATACAGTATTGTGTCAAGAAAAATGGCCTATACCATACAAGTATTTATACATTTTCTTATTATTTTAGTAGGTTTAATTCACAATTTAAAGGATAATATGTAAGAAAACTGAAATTATAGATAGGGCAAATTGCGCAGGTTCTCAAAAAGAGGACACTTCTTATCAGTTTATCAGTTAAGTTAAATTATACTGATCATATAATAATAGTTTATGTAAATACTAGATATATTTATCATGTTTCATATTTAACTAATGATTAATAAACCTTTAAATAAATTTTGAAAAATTGTATTAAAGTGCATGTTTTCCTCATAGCTGGCTACTGATTTCGCTGAACTACATTGTTGGGGTATGAAAGAAGTATATACATGTATATGTAAAGAGTGCACATAGGTTACCAAGGATTTCAGTACTGGACAGCGATGCAGTGACCTTTAAACTGTTGATTTCATTGAATCATGCAACAGTATCTCAAGACAATTGTTAATGTATTGATCTGTTTGATAAAAATGCTTAAAAAAATCTGAATGAAATATGACATTTGTATATATATACATTGTTGATCAAAAGCTATAAGTTATTTTCTCATTACAATCAACAAAACAGATTTTTCAAATTGGTAGATTCTTGCATATTCAGAATCTAATAACTTATATTACTGATTCTTTGCAGGAGGTTCAATTCTCGCCCAGAATTCAATTCATACTGTCAGTCTGGAGTGGTACCATTCTGTCCAACTGGCAGGGCTTCCAACACTATGCCAAGATTTGCTGACACTGATAAAGTAGAGGTGTATGCCCTGAAAGCTCCTGTTTTTGAATTTAAATTGGGAGGTCTTCTTGGTGACTTTGTAAGTTTCTAGATTTTATTTGACAGACTTTGTCTGCCACTTTAGTTCAATAGGGAGATCATTGGATTTATGATCCAGGGGTGGCCTGTTTGATCCTTTGGCATGGCGAAATGTCTCTGTGACAACTGTTTCTTGCTACTGATTCAGAAATCATGTGGAATTAGTAGTTAGTTGCTTGCTGAAAAATTTGTTATAACTGGTTTGTTATCCAGGATCACCTGTTAGTTGGATTGATTGCCAAATATATGTTAAAATTGGCATAAAAACAAGACAAACAAAAAATTTGTAGAATTTCAACAGTCTAATTTTGATTTTAATTTATAGTTTCTATAGGATTATATTTTCAAAGAAACTTATACAGACATTGTAAGTTATTCTATATCAACAGAATTACTGTTCTTTCTATAGGACTATATTTGCAAAGAAACTTATACATAAGATATTTCATATCAACAGAATTTCTCTGAAACTTGACAAGTGTTCATTTAAATGCAGAATCAATAAATTTACTTGCTGAACTACAAATATAATTCTGTAGAATTTTAATTTGCTGAACAATATAATGCTATATGTCTTTCAGGATATAATGCATGATGCCATGGCATTTAAGAATTTAAACACTGGATTTAACTACACTTTGGAATGGTATGAGTTGGTTGAACTATTCAACTGTACATTTGCTCATGTGTTAGGTAATGATTCATTACTGTGGTGTAATCAAGGTGCTGCATGTATCTATGATGGGGTGGATGACAAACACTGGACAGAATATGGAACTCTGATCAAAGTGGCTGATATATCAGGTAAATTAAGTAATGGTATATGTACAATATATGAGCTGTGTCATGACAAAACCAACATAGTGCGTTTGCGACCAGCATGGATCCAGACCAGCCTGCGCATCCGCGCAGTCTGATCAGGATCCATGCTGTTCGCTACCAGTTTCTCTACTTGTAATAGGGTTGGTAAGCGAACAGCATGGATCCTGATCAGACTGCATGGATGCGCAGGCTGGTCTGGATCCATGCTGGTCGCAAACCCATTATGTTGATTTTGTCGTGACACGGCTCATATGTATATCAGGTTAAAAGTAATCTTGTAAGTACAAATGAAAGGAAATGTCTAGAATTATTTGGTCAAAATTCACCCTTTTATATCAGGTGATATTGATATATCCTGTAAGTTTACCTTCAAGCTAAAATTCCGTATTAAACACACACAAACAACTGCCATTTGTTTGAAAGAATACAACACAAAATAAAATTTGTTTAAAAGCAGTTCTCTCCTCTGATTATATAAGGTAGAGTTCAAAACTAAATTGTTTCAGGTTTGACATTGATTGTTTCTTTTTGGCTATCTATATAAATGTATGTATAAACATGGATTGAATTCCAGAAGTAGGCATTGGGCAGCTTAAAGACCATGGGGGGTTGAATAGGGGTGTTTGTTTATTACAGAATTTATGGTTATAAACAAGAAGTGGACCAAATATCATTTTGGAAGTCCTTTAGCCTCTCTTCCTTTATATTTTCAAATATAGAATAATATGCAGCAATCAATAGTAACTCTGGCTGCCCCCAGCATCTAGGGGAAAGTGAGGACTTTCACAAACTCTGACAAAGGGGGACAGTCAGATGGAAAAATGACAAAATTCCATTGTACTTAGAGGTGGACATCTCCATTGCTATTTAGGAGCCAGATCAACATCACTACATTTATACTGGCAGTTGGGAAAGAGATAAAAAAAAAGTAAAAATTAGTCTCATTCGAAGATAATCCCAATCTCTTTCCTTTGGCTGGGGGACCTATGTTATAATTTACTAATGCATGACAATTTATTTAGATTTTCAATCTGTTTTCTTCTTTCAGGCTCTCTCTATAACAAGTTTGCAGAATGGGTTCTACATGATAATGATACAGCCATCTACTATGAGACATGGACAGTATGGGATAAACCTGGTAAATCTCTCAAGATAGTGTTTTTATGCTTTCTGTCATGAGAATTGCTTTAACCCTGAACTTTTATAATGTATATGTTCCTAGGTTGAATTTAGAAAAGTCCTTTTAAAGATTAAGTGATTTCAAATCAGAAATTAAAAAAAAAACTGAGGTACCAATATTATACCTGTGTTAGGGAATAACACTTGATACCATCTGTATAGACCTTAGCCAGTCATTGAAGTCTGTCCAGACCATATAATTATGTTTTTTGTGGGAGTGGAGCAGGGTTTACCAACACAGTGGTGATTATATAGCAACTTTCAAGCTTTACTGGTGGAAAAAAGACTTCAAGTGCCCCTTCATACATTATTTCAGTCACAAGGTGGCACCTGAGTTGAACCATTGACGAGTTGTAAGCAAGCTAGATAGCTTCCTTACATGAAAGAATCCCAAGTCCCTGGTGGGCTTTGAACCTACAGCAAAGGGGGGCAAGTGGTTTGAAGTAATTAACCAATCAGCCACAGATCCCAAATTCTTTGCAGGAAAATTCTATTACATGTATACAAATTATATGAATTTAAATACATGTAGCATTAGGATTAAAAGATAAAAAATGAATTTTATCATAAAGCAGAATAAAACGTTTCGAAACAAAATATTCAACAGCTATTTTTAGTAGGTTTAGCAATGATTTTGTACATGCTCCATCCACTTTGTCAAGTATTATTCTTGCAGTTTAGGTATTTTGATAAGCTTTTTATAAACATGCAAACAAATATTTATTAGGAACAGAAGGCAGATTGTTTCTAAATGTGCTTTCATTCTGAATTTATTAAGATCCTGAATGTATACCTTTAATCATCTGAAAGGGAAGATACAATTTCAAAGTTAGTTATTTGTTAATGGATTGTTTCAACATATAACATTTTTATATTTGTTTTTCCCAGGTGGACAGCTATTCTTTGATTCCTTTGACTGTGCCAGCTTCATATTGAGGGCTTTTGAAGAACTCGGAAACTTGGGTACGAAGTTTGACCAAAGTGTACATCTAAACTATACGAGGATCAACCTGTACACAGATCCCCCAGTGCATCTTGGGAACTTTTCAGAGATCCTAGCAACCAATGAAACACTTGCAGAAGATATAATTCATTTCTATAAACAGTTCCAGTCTCACCAGCCTATTCAACAGTTAATTGTTCATCTTACGGAGGCATACGAGGAAATATTTATACAAAATAAGTTCTTTTTGTTTTATAATTATGAGTACTGGTTCTTACCCCTTAAAGCACCTCATATCAAGTTGACGTATTATGAGGTCCCTCTTCCGAAACCAAAAAATGTTACAGACACTTTGTATTTTGAGAAATCCCATAATTGATGATACAATTTTATATTTTTTTACATATCCATGTCATGTAGTATTTTTTTTTAAATGTCATGCTCTCAAGGTTTGTCATTTTGTTCTGATTGGACAAAAATGAATATGTTTTGTTTTGTTTTTTTGAAAAAAATTGTAACCAATTATTCAGATTCATTCAGTATTAGAGCGAGTGCTGTTAATATCATTTTAGAAAATTAATCAAACACAATTATAATAATCTTAAAATGGCATGCCTTTAAAAGATTTTTTTCTGCTTTCAGAAAATGCAGTCACTAATTAATGATTTTTATATTTCAAACTCTTAAGATTTTTCATTTGTTTGAATAATGTTACATATTTTTTATATTGTTTTAAACTGGTAAATTAATGTACAAAATTAGTCATAAATATTGTGTAGTGGACGTAAACACAAATTATGCCCATAGCCTTGACCTTTTTATAGATCATTCTTGAAATTTATTTTTGTTTTTTTTTAGTTGAACACACACCTTATATTGAATTTTAATAAAACAAAGCATTAGATTGATATGACACACAAACCTTGTGCCAATAGTTGCATTTCATAATTGCTTTCATAGCAAGAGGTATATATGAACTAAAATTTAATTAAATTGTGAAAGTCAATTAAATACCATGTGTTTGTTTGTTTGCTTTTTATGCCGATTTTTACACATTTTTGGTTGGTTACCAACTTTCATGCATAAACTAAACAATAATAACCTATTGTCTGCAAGTAACCAATTAACTGGTACTTACCCTACACAATCCCTGAATCAGAGGGGAGAGACAAATGACCATTAGACTCAATTTGCGATCAATTTTTACTGATCAATTTCAGGATCAAACAATGAAACTGCAGGAATACAAATCTGATGCTCCCCTTTTGAAACAAGCCAGCAGACTAATTTGTATATGACCGAGGCATTCAGATATAGTATGTAAATTATATTTCTTAAAAATGATATTAAATGAGTGAGACTAAAAAAAGGTTTGGAGCACCACAGTAAATACCGTATTCCGGTACATACCGGACAGGAGGCTTGAATGATTAAATCTCGCCTTTTCACCTTACGGAACGAGTTTAAAACCTCTTATTCATCTTTTCACACTGATTTATATATATGATAAGGAATGAAAAATATGATAATCAGGGAAAAAAAACATATTTGTCCATTTTGTATTCATGATTCTGCAAGCATCTAGGGGTACAGCTCCAATCCTGTATCGAGTTAAATCCTTCAGATCTAGTATATAAATTTTATTTCTTAAAAATGATTTTAAATTTTTTATAATTTAGTTAAAACTCGATTGAAAAAGAGAACTAAGATTGAATGAATATAACTCATTATGTGTAATGCTTCTAATAATGTGCAATATTTTGATTAAATTTGTGATATTACATTTGTTTTCTTTAAAAAATTTCAGTTTCATGACTATGTTTCAAGTCTATCCTGTTTCCTCCTTGGTTTAACCCTTAGCTTACTGGCAGAAACAGATTTTACCCATGAGAACAAGATCAGCCAGTGATGCTGTCCGATTATGAATTGCATTGCTCGCTATTCAGTTTGTACAGAATAAAAAGATTGATAAATCCATTTAAAGGATTTCAGCTTGATAATTTATTGTAAAACAATTTTCTAAAAAAGTTTAACAATCCCCGAGTATCCAGAAACGATTAACAACTACCAATGCAGTCATTGCATAGGAAAGGCATTGAACATCGACTAGCAAAGCAATACACAAACATAACTTTGGTTTTACCAAGTACTGAGGGTAAAACCCAAATCGACCAGAGTTCATATAATGAACCAAAATGTACCACAATGACAGTGCCGGCATCCATGAATGGTAGAAGCAAACATTTGAGAGACGTTAAAGGTCACTTTTGATGTGATTATGAAATCCTTTCTATGGTCAAAAACAGAAAAAAGAAACAACTCGGAGGTTCAGATCTCTTTTTTTTATATAGACAATTTTGATCATAAATATACATATTATATGTACATAATATAAACACATTCATAGCGTCTAATGAACACTAACATTTTATTCATTAATAAAAAAAACTTGGTCTTAAAAAACTTTGTGTCCCTTTTATTTTTTCTCAAGAAAAACAATTATCACACACTATAAGAGAAATTAAATTTTAGGATGAACATTGCAAGATGTTTTAGATAATTAGACCAAAACCTGCTGAATTTGTGTAATGGATTTGCCCAACTTTGAATTTGGAACAGTCCATTCAAATTTTAAGGGAAGTCAGTATTAAAATACAAAAATTGAGCTACCAACAGCACAGAGACTGGTCGGACTGCACAGATGTGCAGGCCAGCCTGGCTTAATGCTGATGGCAAAGGGCGATCACTTTTGTTTCCAGCAGGTTAAGGGTTAGTGGTGGGAATGCACACTCGAAGAAAATTTACAAGGAAATACATAAAACAATAAACATCCTATAACAATTGACCAACAAATTTACAATTTTAAAAATAATAAAGTTTCACAGCTGTGACTCAAAAAATAACTTGTTTGCTCTGGAATTACTTATTTATAAGCCTTCTCTATTTCAACCTGGAAGAGTTTGCTTTTTTGTTGGGTTTTTTTTCCGAAGAAAAATATTACTCAACCAAACTTCGGAACATTCACAATTTCCTATTGCTTAAAATACTGATGTCATTGTGTATGGATTAGGACCTTTAAGCAATAAGCCATCGTTTTTTTTTTTTTTAAATCTAGTCATCCAATAAGAAATATGAAATAGAATGTAACTGTACAGCGTCATTCAATCATTCAATAGAATATAAAACAAAAAATACAGTCTCATTAATTCAATGAAATTTCCGGAATGTCTGAAAGAAAAATGGATTTCAGATGAAAAAAATATTATGAATCATAAATGAAACACTGTTGTATCTGTTTGTTTAACCCTGACACCCCTATATCTGTATAATGGACTGATCATATATGTATAATGGATTGGTCCCACTTTAAATTTGGAACTGTCCATTATTAATGTAAAGGGTTTGGTTCTTGATGTGAAAGGCTAAAATTGAGCATTGAACAGAGTAGATTTGGGTCTGATGCAGTTTATCCTAGGTTGTTTACTGGTGGCTAAGTTTATTATCATCAACTGATAGCAGTTACAGGGTTAATTATTCAAATCATTTACAACAGTCTTCCACTAAGATGATGAAATGGCAGTTCTTATTTAACACAATAGGTAGACAACCCTTAGAATTTTTACATCAATATCAACAAATATTTAAGTAGTGAAAAATGGAGTAAATATAATTTCTTACAAAATTATGTTTATGTCACACATCACTCAAACGTAATATCCTAGATGAAGAAATGGATGTAATTTGTTAAGTTTGAGATGAGTTGGCCACATTAACAACATATTTCTGAGTACATTATCTTCCTCAATACACCACTAAAAATGTAATATTACCTTGCAGTGATGTGCATGCTTGACCGACCCTATCAGTTCAATAGGTCTGGGGTTGTTTTTTTTATCGCTGGAAGAGATCAAAATGTGAAAGGGACTTCTCGTAATTTTTTTTTTTAAATTCTAATTTCTAGGAAATGAACAGCGGATATAATGGGTGTAAAATGAATGAACAGTTCTATCACAATATTAAAGTATTGTTCAGTATAAACTTGTCTTCTTCATGATGCGTAAAAATTCTTCCTGATTAATTTCACCATCACCATCTCGGTCTGCCTCGTCAATCATTTCCTGAAAGATAAAAAAGTTACATATACATGTACGATAAAGTCAAATAAACCAAACTGCAGAAACTGTACGACAAGAGCGATCAAAGATCACATGTGTGGCCTGATGATAGCCAAATAACTCAGTTGTATTAAGGGGTTATTGGACATTTTGTCCCTTATATGTATGTAGCATGTTGCAGCTACTGTGTAGCAGACGACACAAAAATCATTAAAAGGTCAAAACGACTTTCTTATTCCAGAGCCATAGCTTAGCAAAACATCATTCAAACAAAGAATTTGTCAAATATGTTCAAGTACCTGTTCTATCAATTAATTCTTAACATTTCGTTCAAATTTTTACTATATTTTAATAATGGATTTAAAACGTGTGCTGCTTATCACCAAAAGAAATGACCGTTGAATGTAAAGTGATTTGTGATATTATGTATAAAATGTAAAAAAATGTGTATTTTTACTTCCATACAAAAAACTCAAAATGTAAACTAATGGGTATTTTTACTGCCATACAAAATACTCAATGATTATAATTGTACTAATTGCCAATATACAAAAGAAGCAAAATATGGATAAGCAAATCACTAACTTTTTTTGAAACTGGCACAAAAAAATTAAAAGCTTATGAAAAATATAAATCATTTCATTTTTTTAGCTTAATTGGCCTTTAACTTAAATAAGAAACTAAAGGTACCTGTAACTCTTCATCAGTGAGATTTTCGCCTAATTCTTTAGCTACTCTTCTAAGATTTTTGGCTGAGATTTTTCCAGTTTCATCATCATCAAACAGTCTAAATGCCTTCAATATTTCTTCTCTTGCATCCTTCTCACTCATCTTGGTTGTCATTATTGACAAAAAGTCATTAAAATCTATTGTGCCTGAAATGTTGGAGAATTTTTTTATCTTGGTTGTCATTATTGACAAAAAGTCATTAAAATCTATTGTGCCTGAAATGGTGGAGAAATTTTTTATCTTGGTTGTCATTACTGACAAAAAGTCATTAAAATCTATTGTGCCTGAAATGGTGGAGACATTTTTTATCTTGGTTGTCATTACTGACAAAAAGTCATTAAAATCTATTGTTCCTGAAATGGTGGTGATTTATTTTCAACATATATAAATATTTGATCTTTTTAAAACATTTATAAATATTTCAGAGTTCATTTAAACAATAAATTTACTTGTTTTTACGTTTTGTTTTGATGCACCTTGTCAAATATTGTAGAGTGAACTTGACACATTTCAAATGGCACTTACAATCCATATTAAAAATCTTTATTTTCATTCAAAACAATCTAAGACATTTTCTATAGAATTTAATATTCTATTATGTAATTTACACACACTGTACAGAATAAAGTTTTTAGTTCAGTGGAACCTGTCTGAGCGGAACGTGTTTAGACAAAATATAATGTTCAGATTTGAAAGGTTTATGAACTTGGAGAGTTTCATGCATATGTTGTCCAGTATTAAAATTAAAATCTTTTGATACTTATATAAAAACAAGAAATTGTACTTCATAAGTGATTGAAATTGTATGATTTTATAAATGTCATTTTTTCCTGAAGAAAACAAAACGATGACAGGTAAAAAAAAAGCTTTTGTTTTTATTGAACTGAATTTATTATATAAATTAGACCAGAACATGTTTCAACAAGTTTACCTGTTCCTTCTTTGTCAATCTCTGCAATCATTTTCTTTATCTCTTCTCTCTTTGGTTCAAAGCCCAGGGCTCTCATGGCAACCTAAATGCACACATAGTCAAGTCTTAAATCAACATATACATATCAACAGCTTATCTTACCTGTCAAGTGTAACAGTGGATTAATAGTTGCATAATCAAAATTAATACATTGAGCTACCAACAGTACAGAGCATGTGCAGGCTGGCCTGGCTATATACTGGTGGCAAGTTATGGTTAAGAAACCTGCCTAAGTCTGCCACTATCTTTCATGCCAAAAACAAAATCATTCAATTTGATTATTGTGCACTGTTGAATTCAACTTTTCTTTTTTACAAGTCAATTCCATATGGTCCCCACACTGTTGTAACACTGTGGTGTTTTTTTTAATGTTTTATGTTGATACACAGAGGACCCCTCTTATTTGTATGGCTGGCTATACAAGGCTCATGAGAAAATATATCAAGATTTGAAGGAAAAATAAAACAGAATTCATTGGTGATTAATAGAACAATTATGTGCCATGCTGTCTAGTACAGCATAGGTTAAATTCAATAAATTAACATAATCTTACGATAAAATGTTCTACAGTATAAATTACACCTTTTAACCATGCAGAACTAGCCCTTGCAGATAATTTCACACAGATAGATTTTCAATGAATTGATTAATCTTACTTTGAGTTCTTTGGCATCAATAGTTCCTGATCCATCAGCATCAAAAAGGTCAAATGCTTCTCTGATTTCTTGTTTCTGTTCTTCTGTCAACTCTGGTTTAGGTCCTGTCTTTTTACGCCCACCACCAGCCAATGTTGTCTTTTTGTAATTTGCAGCCTATAGGATAAGAAATATGCAATATATAATTTTTATAAAAAAAATAAGATTTTTTGTCAATTTGGATTTCAGTCTGCAATCCAACTGTATGAAATCATCCTTGCTGATTTAATACAATAATAATAATTAGGAAAATCCATACATGTTTGAAACTTTGATACATTAGTCATTAGAGTGACTATTTAGAGATACTCTGTGATAATATATAGATAGTCCAATATGCGATAATATATAGGTAGTCCAATATAACAGACGTTATGTGAGCCATTTCTATTAGACGTCAGGCTTGTTATAGTTTATGTCGGTCAAGTCCGACGTCTAATAGTTATTACTCACAAACTCATAACATCATAACAAAATCAAAAAATGTCTATTGTCTTGCCTTTTAAGCTTTATTCAAAAGTTAATGATAAACTTTATCAAATTTTCTTTCAATATCATGCTCAATCATAAACAAAAACTCTCAAATAATGTTGTTATCAATCTAAAATGAAAAATAAACATCAATCTATTATTGCCTATAACAGCCATATTGGTGAAGTAAAGCCCTTTACAGATTGGTTCCAAATTTTTGAACGAAAAAATATATATGTACTAGCTGGCGGTGCATGGGCAAATATTTTGTTTGAAACTTTTGACTCATTTAAACGCTTGCATTTTGAATTAGCCAATCAGATTTCACACTCTGTGTAAGGAATTTAACTAAATAAGAAGATTAAATCATGCTTTTTCGGATGTGACAGTTTCATAATTTTGTTAAAAGGTTTTTATTTTTTACTTTTGTTCATGAATACATGTAGGTCAAAATCAATGAATTATAATATACCAGAGCAACAGATAAGCTTTAAAAGTGAATTGGGTATTACTCCATCATTTCCTTTGTAATTGGGTATTGGCTCCATTTAATTGGGTATTCCAAAACTCGATACCCTATGATTTCAATATCAATTGGGTATTCAATTATGAAGATATGAATTTTATGGTTTCAATATCAATAAAATTTAAACTGTTTTAAAAAGAAAATAGGATTAACAATTTACTAGAACTTTTCACAATTGTTTTATTTTTTATATAAAATGCTCATGTTATATTTCATAATATTTTTAACAAGTTCGTTTTCTGACTGATTTTTGATTATTTACGATTGTTATGTTTCAAATCATTTTCCCTTTTGTACGACGCCATATTGCTTTGATACAGGTGGGGCCTACTTATTAACGGTCTCCGCAAAATCAACGGTCTCTGCCTGTCTGTAAAGACTGTCGACCTGAGTACCCAAATCGACGGTGTCATGCTTTATTGATATGACTTAGTCGGTCTTTGGAGACCGTGACCGTAGAAGACCAGAGACCGTTGATTAGTAAGCATTTATTCGGGAATATTGATTATTCGGATAGCATGCATATCGATATAATTTATCCAAAACTAGGAGCGTACGACAGATTAATTTTGCGGTGATGAAAATGACAATACGCACGGGTTTTTTAAGTCAATTGCGTATTTTATTTTTTTTATGGGTTTTGATACGCATTCTTAAAAAATCAATTGTGTATTTTATAAAATTAATTGAATAAATACGCAAATACGCACGTTATCTGTTGCTCTGATATATGCTGATTTAAGAATTTTTTTGTCCCGCCAGATTTTCTTGTAGAATGTGCTTTGGGTTTTTGAGCAATTTCAATAGGACGTACGGTAGCTTTGCCCTAAAGCAAAGTGACATCGTATAAATTTATAATTATTGGACTAATATATAGGACCAGTATCTTCCTTTGTCATTCCAAAATTCACATTCACTACATAAAAGCACTTTTAAAATGATTACAGCAGTGTACAAGTTATTTTTCATGATATATGTATTTTCTCTTGTATAATAAATTTCTTTCCTAGTCAGTAGTGTGGTTTTCATGACTTTAGATAAAAATTAAGATTATATTTGAAAGGCATTTTACTCTAAACACCTTACTATTCAGTCCTTTTAATCAAAATCGGAAATTCAAAAACAACTAAAATAAATCAAAGTACGGCCCTACATGTTATACAAATAACAGTTTATAGACACAAACAATGCAAACATAGTCGTGCTGGCTATATCCTGGATTAGACCCCGGGGTCTAAACCAGGAGTATATATAAGGTTCATTCCGTTTTCTCTAGTGTATTATATATACAAGTTTTACTCCTGAAAAATACATAGGGGTCTAAACCAGGAGATTGCCGTCGTGCTGTATCATGCAAAACATGCACTGAGCATTTCTACTTCCAAAATTTGCTGTCCAGCTAGAATTTTTACACTTTCAGTGTGTTTGCATATATTAAACAATAACGACCATTTCCAATTCTGTACCAAATGTTTCATTTTATCATGTACAAAGAAAAGGTAGGCCTTTTCTTACCATATTTCACTGTTTTTGTTGATCTTCGAAACCGCGATACTAACCGGAAACGCAGGAACGGACAAGGAATTTGTTTACATTATGATTGGTTAAAAAAGTACTAGGCTAAAGTCCGTTTTACCGTTTAATCAAATGTACGGTTATCTCAATCACAAGCATTCAACGCTCCAATCGCAAAGCAATGCGTCTTACAACGGCATTTTTTGGTGCTTGGTCAACTTTCAACATAAACATGACAAATTAAGGTGATTGCAATAAAATAAACAGCATAGTAAATTTTAATTAATAATATACAAACATTATTTACTGAGTATATTTCATATTGTTTAAGAAGGAAAACTATGCACATGATGAATTATATATCAAATTTGCAAACACATATACACTGCGTGGGCTGGGTAATTTGGTCGTAAAAACACAGATAGTTGCAAGGAAAATCGAGCTTTTATATGCTTATCAATGTTGTTAACAATGGAGTTAGAATCTGTTGGATACTTATATTTTCTGGTCCTTCGGGATCATTAATATTGATGCCAACACTTTAAAGTGTTGAGAATTGAGTACCGCTCAAGCCGGTGCTAGGGGGCGTGAGGGATGTTGCACTTATTCATTATCCCTCATGTACAGACTCAATCAAACCGAGTCTGCAATTCTTATGTTATTTTGTTGTGCTTAATGCTTCCGAGGGATCACTTTGTTTCCAGAATTTTTTACTTCACAACAGCAGGTGTCAAGTGCCGTGTGGCAGCCGTAAAAAGTTGCCCCGTATTTCACTTCAGTGTTGTTATATTTTCTGGTCCTTCGGGATCATTGATGCCAACACTATAAAGTGTTGAGAATTGAGTACCGCTCAAGCCGGTGCTAGGGGGCGTGAGGGATGTTGCACTTATTCATTATCCCTCATGTACAGACTCAATCTAACCGAGTCTGCAATTCTTATGTTATTTTGTTGTGATTAATGCTTCCGAGGGATCACTTTGTTTCCAGAATTTTATATAAATATATCACATATTATTTGAATAAAATTAAAAATACTGACTGTGAAATAATTATAATTATTAATTATTTTTAATAATTATTAATTATAATTATTAAATTATTATTATTATTATTATTATTATTATTATTATTATTGTTAATAATTATTAATTATTAATTTTTTTTTATAGTGAGCAAATTGTAACAAATGACTTTTCTATAGCAACAAATGAATTTCTTTGCAACCACTGAATATTCAATTTCCTTTTAAACTTTTGACTTTTATAGCAATCATTGACATTCCTTAGCACCCAATGTTTTTCCTAACAACCATTGACTTTTCATAGCAACCATTGACTTCCATAACAACAAAATTAGCTTCCCATAGCAACCAGTGACTTCCAGACATGAGATTGACTTAATTTTGATGGTCACTATATTGACTTGATTTTCCCTACAAATGACTTCTTTTACATATTTCTGCTATTAATGATGCAGATTTTAATTTTTCTATCGCGATTTTGACTTGTTTTTCATTCATAGTTATTAATTTTTAATTCAGATGAGCGATAAAAACCGTTTGTATATTCATTCCTCTTGAAAAAGTCTAACCTTTCCAATTTTTTTACATATTTTTATTTGATATCATGAAGATATTTTTTTGTTTTAGTGGAATATGTAATATATTTTCACGAAATATGATAAAATTGGAGTCGGAACGAAAAAAAAACATTCTTTCTATCTAATTTTACCTTGAAAGAACAAATTCTTTACACAGTTGCAATTGTACATCGCGCAGTAACGTTTAACGTTTATACATGTCGGCGCACGAAACACAATTGACGTTTTACTCTTTCCTAGTTACTGTAGCACATAAGCGCTGAAAATTGTTTCCTTGAACGGCTTTCAGCGTTTTCATTCTTGTCGATGAATGGCTGTCGATGTTATCATTTAAAAAAGGTGAACGGCTGATGATGTTACTAAAATTTTGATCACACTCAAACTTAAATACCCTATAACTTTAACAGAAAAGCATTTTTGAAGATATGAATTTAAATATTTAAGGACGAAATGTTGACGTTCACGAATCGTATGATAAAAAAAATATTATCATGAGAAAATATAAGTTTTTGTGACTTAAAAATAAAAATGCTGCATCTCATCGGATAGTGTGGTTATTTTTAGTCAAAATTCACCTGAAGTAAAGCTTGCACAGGGCTAGTCTGGTTCCTTGCCTACATTTACTGCGGAAAGTATAACGTAGTATAAGGGGAAGGAACTCCAGACTAGCACAGGGCCAGAAATTTGTTAGCATGCTCCTTTGGATGTTGACTATGAATCCATAACATTGATTTACTCAACACAGTTGGGATATGTTAGAAATAGATGAATACTTTACCGTCCGTCAATTGTGTTTCGTGCCCCGACAATTGTATATACTGGTACAGCTGTCGACGTTGGAACTGCTGTCTGTCCATTTGATTGTACGGTGTGCTCTTGAAATAAAAACGATGCTATATTGATACGATTGAATCCAATAATGATTTCTATTGGATCATCACATGGAGCTAAAGCTGAAAGTGCATTGGTAATATTTTATATGATGTGAAATTTTAAATATTGGGCACTAGCCGAAGGTTATAATTATGTCAGCAAGGCTATATTATTCTGTATATCCAGTCAGCAACTTGTATTATAATGCATTTTTACAATAATACAAATTGTTTGATTGAGGAAATGTTCATAAAAAAATCCCGAAACTATAGAATATTTTAAAAGAAGAGGCTCAGGTAAATAAAATGAATGCCTGACATTCAACGTCTACACTTACACTGCTAAATAAAAAGTAATTCAAGTGTAAAGTCATTATAGTGGTAAAACAGTACTGTTCCCAATAGAAAATAGACATTAAAATTTCCAATTTTTAAATGTCCCGAAATGGCTTTTCAAAATTTCCACAAGGCCAATAGATTTCTCTGAAATCATTTAAATCCAACATATTCATATAAATCATCATTCAATAGTTCTACCTGGACAGTGGAAGCTGTTAGCTATCTTTATTCATGATGACTATCTTATTTTTGTAGCTGAAAAAATGCATACCCCCCCCCCCCCCAATTTAAGTCAAAATAACGCATTTTTTTCCCAATCAGTCTGGTACCGGCACCATTCCCAAAGTAGAGAAATCAAAGTGCTGCAGCACTGAATGCGACGGACATGCAACCGGAGAGACATTTAGGCTTTTTTTTTAGAAAAAAAAAAAAAAAAATAAAACACAATAGATAACAGAGAAAATTTGTTCCATACAAGCTCGAGATTTGTAGAGCAATATATGTTGTGTCCCAATCTGATATAATTCAGATTTTCTACTTTCAAGCATTTAAATACAGAATGAAATTTATGCCTAAAAACTCTGGTCAAACTTGTAAATCAGTGTCCTTATCGATTTATTCCAAGAAATGATATGTAAATAGAAAAAAAACTGTCAACGAAATATTTCTAAAATAAAACCATGCAAAATATACTTCAAGCATAATACATTATACATGTGAGAATGTTATTTAGAATTTCTTCGTGTCATAACATAGTGGGCATATAGACAATAAAATATAAGTCATTTGTACATGTTGTATTTTTATTTCTCTTGGATATGTCTCATTAAAAATATTTTTGGTTAAAACACGGATTTATATTACAATATAAATCAGTGGTTAAAATCATCAGCAATTAATAGTGTATTTTTTAGATTTTTTTTATTTACAAGGGCCAGAGCACATCGTTTTTATTTTAATCTAAATGTCACTTAAACACTACAGTGTTTAGTTGTCCTTTTCATTTTCACACTAAATTCCATTTTCAACTTGTTTGCTTCTTACAATTGTATTGAAAGTATTGCATGTAAACAAAGTAAGTATCCGCTGGTTTACTACATGTGTACTCCCGAAAATCAGGTGAAGCAGAATCTATTTTTAGAATAGCGAAGTTTAACTCATACCGTGACCTAGAAAAATATGTAAACAAACCACAAGAATCGGCAGTAGAACTGATATCATAACTTCCTTCAATAAAGATTACCATGAAAGACTACATGGTGGTAAAGTGTTGAAAAACTCTCTTGCAAAAATAGATATTTATAGTAACCATTGTACTGTATCTAATTTATTAATAACTGCTGAATATTCAGCTAAACCCGCGGTATGAGTCACGAAAATAGTTCTTCTTTTATTAATGCGCGAGTTATTCTAGAGTCACGAAAAACTTTTGATTTGTTAATAATAATGTTTTGTATAATGTAGAAATATTTATTTCCTACTAATAATTTATTGGAACTTAGAGCTTACACCTGTATTATAGTATAATTTGCTGTCCTACTTTTTCGACAGCGGTCAATCGTTTCGGCAGTAATTTGCATATTGCGCAAAAATACTACGGGACTACAACGTTTTTATCAATCATATACGTTCATATTTCAACTTGGATAACTTAATTTGAAATTGAAAAGGCTTAATATGGAAGATTTTAAGATATCCCGACAAAGTATGGGAGTTTTTAAGGATCAAATTCATGTACTTTTTCTTGGGCTGTTAATCGGTTGAGGACACTTTGCGCGCTTGTAGCAGACGAAATCCGATGTGTAGATGACTTAGCTCTGAACGCGCCTGAGGGCGCGTCCGTCGCAAAAAACACTGTTTTGCTTTTTGCCGTCTGTCCATCCCCAGTCATCTTGTCCGGCTTTCAAACTCCTTTAAATGACCTTGACCATCAAATGATTGAATTTTGCTTATACAGTCAAAACTGTCTTAATTAAGCAGCCAGCCAAGGTATGCAGTCATTTTGGCTGCCTAAGACAGGTGGCTGCTGAATGGAGGATCAAGTTTTTATCCAATTATATTATTTCTTTGTTTATAAGATAAATCTTATTTAATTATAAATAAAGCAATCTGATACATCATTCATCATATCATCATCATCATCAGGTTTTTAACCATTTACACAATCATGTACACACCTTCCAACATAAAACTTTATGTGAATGTAACACAGATAAACAAATGCACTCACAATTAATTATGTCAATAATTGACACAAATTATCCCACTAAAATATTATATTTTTGAACAATAGTTTAACATGAGTAATCTATTTATGACAGTTT